CTCTGGGGAGGCCAATCCATGGCTGATGATAGTGTTGCATAGGGCTTTTCCGGGTACCCTTTTACAGCTGTGTATTTGGGATAATTTTCATACTGAAAAATGAATCAGTGTTTTGCAAGATCTCCAGCACTACTGGCTGAAATGCAACCCAAACCATGACAGAGCCTCCACCGTGTTTTACAGATGGCTGTAGACTCTCACTGTTGTACCTCTTTCATAACCTCCTCTGTACACATTACTGACAACTTTATCCAAAACTTCAAATTTGGACTCATCACTGCACCTGTAGTGGTTGATGCTCAGTCCAGTTCTTGTGTAATCTGCAGAAGTGCCGTGTTGTTTGTGAGCAGGTACGGTATGTTTGAGTTTTAATTTGTTTCAAACATTATTTCATTACAGTAGTTCACATTATTAACTACAACTGTGCATAAAGTGGTCTATCTGACCATCTTTGTACAATACACCTCACTCCTCCCTGCATGAATCTTTCTTTTTTATTCGTTCCTGTGGGGTGGAACTCAGCTCTCTCTAAGTCTGATACTGTCTCTCTCTTCTTGGTGAATTCTGTTTTGTAGCGCTTTTCACAGAGTTAATGTCAGAGTTAGAGAAATATCTGACAACGTAGGTCCAGCGCAGGATTCATCCAGAATAGTTTTGTTACAAACCGTACCACCGTGAAATCTGTGTAACAGTGTAACCGTTGACCTGACCAGTATTTACCGTCAGCTCCTGACCCTTCCTCGTATCGAAGTTAGACTGTAATTGTGTTGACTTCCCTGTTGAAGCTGTTTTACGAAGCTTCGGGCAGAGCTGGAAGTACCCGCGCAACGATACCGATGGTTACATTACACCCTCTTGCAGTAAAGGGAGGGTATGTTGTGACACAATACAACACAATGACACAATAAACCAGCAGATCGAGTTATTTCTCTGACTCATCTACACAACGTGATCACTACATATTTCAATTTTTCAATTTTCAATTTCAATGTTTTTCCCTAATGTGGTCCAAATTTATTTATATATAATATAATATATATATATATATATATCATACTATATATATATAATATTATATAGTTATATATTTTTTATATATATATAACTAGATATTATATATATTATATAATATATTTATATAAATATTGGCCACATATAATTATATTATATACTATATAATATATATATATATATACTATATATATAATATAGAATATATATAATACTATAATATTAAGTATCACTATATTATATAAATGGAGACCCATTCTATCTAGTAGTGCAAAAATATGATATATATATATATATAATTAGGGAGAAAAATATATATATATATATATATATATATATATATATATATATATATATATATATATATATATATATATATATATATATATAAAGATATAGTGCTAAAATGTATTTATTTGGAGGAACGAGGACATTGTTTCAAAAAAAAAGTGGTACTGAAGTCTGTGTTGTGATATTTTGATACCATGGTAGCATTTGCTGAGTATTGTTTTTGATGATATTATACAAAGGACCCTGTTTCTGCAATGCCCTTTGTTTGAACCTCATCTCCTCTTGCTGTGTCAACTGAAGATTTTATGGTGTGAAAGTAGATACTAAGGTTGGAGGGAAAACACCAACAAATCACTCTTTTACTTATCACTCCCTTGCAGAAGATGTTTATGTGAAGACCATCTGGGTTGTGTCAGAACTCACGGATGTAGGAGACCTCTGTATAAGATTTATAGGCCTTGTGAGTGCATCTTTATTGCCCTTGCTGAACAAAGGATTCCAACTGTCGAAGGACACCACCCCACCCAGTGGGCAGGGTCTGAACTGAAACTTGTTGTCTGCCTATAAAAACTGCTGCACAAAGAATAAACTTTGAGTTAGTTTGGGATGACAATCTAGAACAGTCTCCGCGTCTTTTTGTTCTTCCAAACTGCTCCCGGTACTCCGGCCGGTACCGTAATTAACCGTTGATCATACTTGAGAATATTTTAATTGTTATAGGTTAAAGGATGAACTCTGATGATGAAAGCCCACGCCTCAGAGAAACCCGGAATGGAGTTTCTTACAGGTGGATGGCTCGAAGCTGTGAGCGCAGTGCTAAAACCTTGACTCTGTCCTGTAACTCTTCACAGAGTGTTTAGAGCTGAGTCCCTTTCTCAGTATTGATACTGTTTTACTAATGCCGAGCACAACTGAACAAAACTAAACATTTGCAGTTTTTCGAGTTGCATGTCCGCTCGGAAATCGGTGCATAATTACAACGTGTTTGCGCGTTTTTTCTCGATTTTCGTGGTTTCATTTCTACCAGAGCCACACACTAACACCATTCTAACATTTCTAAAGCACTTAAATGAATGGGACTTTGTTAGTGTGTCCGAGTTTAATAAGTACCTGCAACCTCACCGAAAAAACGAACAATGCGCGCATTTACGCAGGTGGCACAGTAATCTTTATTAACACAGGGAGGGGTTGAGATCTAACAGCAAATAATAATTTGCTGCTCTTACAAAATGCAAGTCACTGTTAAACACAGATTTCAGGGATACAAGGTGAAATAATTTGTAATGAAGGATAAATTTGGATAAAATCTGCACTAGTACTCAGTCTCACAGTCCCGAGAAGTTTCTAACAGATGACACGTTGACTCTTCTCCATCCTCCTCTCGTTCATCTGCCTGATAGAATCACGGGCTTACACTGTATTATTTTAGTTTACATCAATCTCATCCTTTCCCTCCCTCGCTCAGTGCTCGTTTCTGAGCCGCTAATTTGTGCCGTTCTTGGTAGGTAACTCGAAATGAACCGACTGCATCCTCGTTTATTCATTGGGGCACTGTTAGAGCACCCAAAGAGCTTTTAATTCCCATGAGCCCATTTTTGCCAACGCATCATCTCGCTAATTTGCCACACAGCTTTCAGTGACAGACAAGACCCCGTGTTTCTCTGGTAAACTCAGACAGCAGCTCATGCTCGGCGCAGACCGTTGGCTACTAAATGAGATCACCCTGAGAGATCACGATGACAGTGTAGACCGCTAACTTTGCCTTTATCAACATTCTTGCATGAAATATCCTCTTCTTAAAATGACAAGAACTGATGCTAATATTGTAAATATTGTAAGGAAGTGTTTAATTGTTTTCCTAAATGTTCCACACAAGTCGTTCTGAGATATTTTTGGAGATCTGTCAGAATATTTGACACTGCAGTGACAACAACACACAGTTACCAGTTACAGGTAAAACCTCATTGCAGGTGAAGAGAGTGTGTTGAGAAGATCAGAGGAGTGCTCTGAGCAGCTCACGAATGAAGTAAATGATAGAGAGAGGAGGACAAGTGGAAGACAGTGAATCAGGAAGTGCAGAGGACTGATAATGAGGAATTCTAGCAGCTATGAAGAGGATAAAGAGTGGAAAGGTGGCTGGTCCAGATGATACCTGTGGAGGTAATGGCGTTTTAACCAGACTGTTTTATGCAATCTTAGAGAATGAGAAGTCTTTATAGATCTAGAGAAAGCATACGATAGGATATCAAGAGAGGAACTGTGGTTCTGCATGAGGAAGTCAGGGCAGTTTAAATAACCATGTTGACACATGAAGTTTCCCCGGCAACCTGTCCAGGGTGCAAACTGTCTTTTGTCACATATCTGCTCACATGAGCTCCAGTTCTTGGAGATGCAAAGTATAATGAGAGATTAGGAAAATGGACTGAATGAACAATAAATGATAAAAGTCCAGTTAGTTTGCCAGACCCAGAAGCAAATAGACAAGTGTGTAAAGCAGTCTAACTCACTCTAGGAAAGATGGCAGGTGGCAGTCTACACACCCGCCAGCATTCAACCCACTACACCCCATTTCAGTTCCCCAGTGTTTCCCAGCGACAACAGTTGAACCGGATATTTGACAGGCAGTGAGACAATACTGTTAAAATGTTACTGGTGACAGAGGGCTCCTTTCCATTAACTAAATCATCATCAAACAATGCAAGGATTTTGGTAGGTACACATATTTCTTACTCCATGTGTAGTCGTATGAAAAAGGTTGTATGGGGAACCTCGAGCAAACAAGCCAATTGAAACAACACAGAAAAAGTGTGTGAATAATTCCAACAAAATAACAAAAAAGGTTTAGCTGGCCACAAAAATAGTTACTAATCTGTTATTTTGCTTAAAGGTACGGACAGACTTTTGTCTGTTTTCATCCAGTAAACCCCTTGGTGTAATAAACCAGACAGTTTCTAACACAATAGGTTTGAACATTATGGATTATTGTATTATGTGTATGTCAGGACATTATTGAATGTGTTAAGGTTCAAATATTGAGGAAGGAGAGTACAAACCACCATGGTCCAGAAGATCTTGGTCAAACAATGATTTTAATGAATACACGTCGTGGGAAGACACTCTGTACCAGACAGCAATTGATCTTCGACTTAATCAAAGCATAAACAGATATTTTATACCATCAGGGCTTGATTTACTGACGCCCCTTCAACGTCACAGATACATTTTATACATAGATCCATTCAAAACCACAATGACTTTTAACACAGTTTAAAAGAACATCGTCTTCCATCTTCATTACAGGTGCATCCTGTCACTGCCGGATGCTCGCTTGTCATCTTGACACCTCAGCAGCAGTTCTGCGACAAACTGCTTTTTGCAACCCCAGCAAAACATAATTAAACTTTCCCCTATAAATGACCACAATCGCACCCTGTTTCACCTCGCGACTAGCTCCTGACCTCTAACCAGACAGAGAGACAGAAACCACTCTCGTATATGTAATAATCGAACTGAAACTATGGATATATCATCTGTTAAATAAATGTTTTAATCAAGAACCTCTACTAAAAGTTTAATATAAAAATATGAAGCATATAAAAGATATTAAAAATAACCTGATATAAGTGTTTTGTAAGCATGTACGCAATCCTTCTATGTTCTAGTTTTCCCTCAACATGTATCACCTGAACAGTCGCGTCAGTGAAGCTTCAAACCTTTAAAGAACCTGAACATCAACTCAAATAAGCACAGATATGCATTGTGTATAAAATAGTTATAACTGCACCTGAAATACAAGGTTAACATAATAACTGTATGCATAACATCTTAAGGCCTTCTTAAAGCTATCTGTTACATTGTTAAAGCCTCGTCTTAGCCTGCTGCTCAAAATAACCTTCTGCTTTTACAAACTCTCTCCAAGCCTGTTTCCTGTCCTGTTACTTTTAGCCTTTCTGAAAGACACACTGTTCAACCTCTAAACGCAATATAAACTCCAGATTATATTATTAATGCAATGGTAATGATGACAATTATTTAACGATAGCAGTAAAATAATTTCCCTGCTCCACAAATGACGTATAAATAAGGAAAAACAACTGAATTGTGTTAGATAATGTTTTATTGAAATTTTATTGCATTCAAAGTTTCACATCAGGTCAAAACAAAAGTAGGAAATAGGTAAGAGAGCTTGATAAGCTTGATAGAAAAAAGGAAAGAAGAAAGCACCGCATGGATCAGTAATGTGATTAAACTCTTGTTATGCCAGTTTCAGTGTTTCTTTAACCATGACACCTATTCCATCATAGACTTTGTGAATGGGAGCGTTGCACATGAAGGCAGAGGTGGTCACCAGCTTGTTTTTGGCATCAACATGAACTTCTTCCACATCTTTGTTCACGTGTTTGCAGCCCAAATCCTTCAGGGCACCTGCTGTCTGAGCATATGGCCACCTGATGACAGGAAGAAAAGGGACTGTCAGAGCGGCTGACTGATGTAGTTTTGCACCCACATTAACATCTGATAATAAAATACTTCACCCACTTGTCACACTCTTTGTCCTGCCCCACGGTGAGCTCGCAGCCCGGCAGGATTTTTGCAGCTAGAATGGGCGCGATGCAGCACATACCCAGCGGCTTTCCAGCTTTGTGGAAGGCCTTGATGACCTTCTCTACATTTGGCTGGATGGCACAGTCCTTATTCTTCACTGCCCAGTCACTCAGGTTCTTAGCCACACCGAAGCCCCCTAAATGGGTACAAGAGAACATCACAAAAGTGCAACTAGCACAACAGAAAGAAACAGCGTGTGTGTTTTATTCTGTGGTGTCTCACCTGGGATGATGGCAGCATCAAGTGCTGAGACATCTAGCTCTGCCAGATCAGTCACCTCACCCCTGGCGATACGGGCGCTTTCCTGCAGGATATTTCTCTTCTCTTCTGTGGGTTTCCCCTCGCAGTGGTTTACAACATGCATCTGATCTGCATTTGGAGCAAACATCTGCACCTGCATACACATGAAATAAGAGGTTAGCCTCTGCAAGATTGAGGGATGTTGTAGGAGTTCAAATACTTCCAAATGTGACAGGGTTCAGATAAGCACACAGATGAATGTGTAACAAGCCTTTTCTCGCCCTTACTTTTGCTCCTGCACGACTCAGGTGGACAAGGACGGCAGAGGCCTCGTGGACCTCTGTGCCGTCATACACTCCACAGCCTGACAGAATGACTGCAACACGCTTGGCCATGATTCCTATAAAAACACACACAAAACAATCTTCCTTTAACTGAACACCAGCCAGCATGGACTATTTCTTTCCCAGTCTGATATAATAACCAGTTAGTTGGCTAATTACTGCTTCTGTGCCACCTGTTCTGCCTTAACATAAAATATTTACATGAGCAGGTGAGACATAAGTCCCAGGTGTGCTGCTGCTGCTGCCAGTAAACACTTGTGACACCAGTAAACTGGAGTTACAGAATCGGGTGTTTAATCTGATGAATAATGAAGTTGTATCAAAGGCTAGTTTCGTCTGTACACAGTTTTTCTTTTTTGCATGTCATGAATGAATGAATGAATTAATTAATGCCTTTGTTGTCTGCAAAGAAAACTGAAAGCAAATGGCTGACAAAACGAAATCTATCACTTGGAATTATCCTTCATTCATCAATGTTTGTCTCTAAAACGTAACTTAGGCAGTACAAGCAAAGACAATGCGGATAGATTTTCTCACCTTGAACGGCTCTCGGTCGGCTAGTTCTTCAGCTGTGCGGAGTCGAGTTTTCCAATAGAGGTGTGATGACTGAACTCAGAAGCAGACTCTTTATAATCCCTCCCGCTGTCTCCTCCCCCAATAACTCTGCAACACGACAGATTGACATCATCCGCGTTACCGACAACGAGGAAAACGCCGAGTCATTCCGCGTTGTTATAAAGTTATAATAAAATGTTGAGCTATGAAAAGAAAACGTTAAGATAAGCCACGAAGCTACCGCATTGACATTAAAGTTAACTTCTTTGGCCTAACTTTTAAAAAAAGTGGCATATTAAAGCCACCGGGAATGGAAGAAGTGTGTGAGTTGTGATAGGAATATCTGTCTTATCCTGATTTGGATTTTTTGCAGCGGGGGAATGGTTAATAATTATTAATTTATTAATAATACTCTTTTCGATGATTCGGGTTAACTTGTGTATTTATCTGTGTATTTTACATGTGCAAACTTCCAAATAATGACATGTTTACATTTTTATGCAATGTAACCTAAGTGATTCATTTTAGACACACAACAGATGCCTGTTGGATATTCCATGGGCGCTGCCCGTGTTATTTCCCGGTGAGACACGGTTCGTCCTCTCAAGTGTCTGCTAATGTTACGCCCACGTGTATAAAACAGCCTCACGTCGACAGAGGGAGACACTACAGCCATGGCTCAAAGCGGCTCTCTGCACATATCCGTCGGCATCCTGAGCATCGGCGGTGGTAAGCTTGTGGTTTGCTTTCCGAAGTGTTACCAGCTTTGTGTTTGTTTTGTTTTGTTTTTTCATGTAGACTATCATGGCGAAATGCGCGCTCATATTAATCATAACTCATATTGTCACATTAACATGTGGTGAAAATACATTTTAATAAAGTGATTTATTTAAACTGCTGTAAGTGACCTCGAACAGGCGCCTGTCGTGAACGATATCAAGAAATTTTAAGCCAGAAAGAACGGCTGAAAAGGAGTAGTGTTAGTATAGTGCAGAAGACAGAGTAGGTGGGTACAATAATTCAGTCACAAGGATACTTGCAAAGATGTTATGTCTTTATATTCTATGTAACCTCTTTGAGAATCTTGTTGAATACAGCCTATTTACCAAAGTAAGTAAAAATATTAGATGAAATAACAACTACACACTTTGAAAAGCTGAAAATCACTTTTACCATTATTTTTTAAACTATCCAGTCTGCTGTAAATAAATAACAGTTCATAATAATAAAAAACGACTTCATTATTAATTAAAGAATAATATAAATGACAATATTTTATGACGATCCTTTTAAGCTTGTTAAGTTAACTTTAAAAAACAAACTAAAAATAGATGTGAAAAAAAAACCATTTTTGTTATCCAAAAATAAACAGATTTTTTTTTTTAAGTAAAAAAAACTACAGATAAGATGATAATATGTAGACAGCAGGATTTTAATCCTACAGGTGGTCACTCCTGCTTTTGGTGAAATGGTTTATGGCAGCTACTCCTAAGGGAAATATATAGCTATATAATTCGTGCTAGCGGTCTCCACCTCACACAAACTGCAAACCCTTCCCTTGATTACAGAAGCATTTATTTAAAAGAACCTAAAGGCAGAGTAACTAAACAACTTTAAATCATTCTTACGCTGTCTCTAGGAAACATTTTAATCATCGATTCCTGGCTCAGTTATTACTTAAATATCAAGGTTTATGGGCGAGTGTCTCGGTCTAAGCGGAGTACAATGTACTGGAAGTTTTATTATTGCATGTTGTCATGTAGCTGTAAGCGTTTCTCCTGACCCTGTCCTGTTTTTTCTTAGGAATCCGTCACAGTCTGTCCCACGGCCGCCTGTTTTCCACCCTGTGTCTCACTGTTTCTGCTCTGTGGTGTGGCTCTGGTCTGGTGTATATCCTGGGAGGGCAGGGGGTCATACAGCCCACACAGCTGAGATTCGCATTTGTTCCAGGCCTTGCAGCATTTATCTTGGCCTTGCTCATCATAGGCATTGCTGCTGTTGTAGCAAAGAAAGCAGTTCTCTTTCTCATAGCTGTTGGTATCTCCTTAGCTTCCGCCCATCAGATCGCAGGTCTGACAGCGGTAGGTTTTGGCCTGTATGCCACAGCTGCTAACTACTTCCTTGTCTGTCTGGTGTGTCTTTACTTTGGTTCTGGACGTCTGCTGTCTGTGATCACTCACGGTAAAGTGGAACTTCCTGGAACAGGTGCGAAGAAGAAAGCTGAGCTGAAAGCAGAGCAGAACCAGGGGTGTAATGATGCCGTGTCAGTGAGTTTGGCGATGAATTTATTATCTGCGTCTGTATTAGCCTGTCCCCTGCTAGGTGTGGTCCCTGAGCTCTCTGTCGGTCATGTCCCCTGGCTGTGGACAGCTGGCGTGTTCCAGCTCGGCATGTGTATCCTCTTTTACAGAGGTATGGACATGCTTGCTGCCACTTTTTATGGCTTCACTTCCCTGTTTGCGTTTGCAGAGGGTTACAGTGCCCTGCTGTCATTTTATTCCATTCGGCCTTACTCACCTGTTCCCTTTCCTGTTGTCTTCTCAGTTCTTTTCTTCATACTGGCTCTGTTCAGTACTCAGAAGGACCTGCTGGAGGGCTTCTACCAGCTATTCTTTGTCGCCTATTCTATTGCTCTTGCAGCCCAGCCTCAAGGCTTTTTCCAAGCAGGCACTCAAGGTGTCCAGGCAGCTATATTTGTGGCTTCTGCTTGCATGCTTTTGATTACCACCTTTAACATGGCCTCTAGTACCAAGATTCCCACAGGGCAGAGCTGTTTCAAGGCTTTAGTTGGCAGGATGCAGAGCGTTACTCTCAGGGCACATGACAAAGAATTGCACACACCTTACCTGGGCTACTCTAAATATGCAGATGCAGAGGTGTTAGGCCATGCATCCAATGTGCTGGCTACTTTCGCAATCACAGCCACAGTAGGTAGCCAAAATCCTCTCTTTGTGCTGATTCTACCCTGGGTGGTCATGGCTGGCGGAGCACTGGAGCTGCTGTGCGGCGCAGTAGCCTTTGCTCGTGGTAAAACCTTTGAGAGCACAGTCTTTATTCTCTATGGGGTGATGTGGACGGTGTGGGGGCTGACACGATATGGCGGCCTGTATGGTGAGACCAGAGGTCTTAACATTGCTGTTGGGATCATTACCTTCCTTGTGTTCAACATTTTAGTGACAGCTGCAGCGTTGTTTATGAACGTCGCATGGTTTGTCTACGCATTTACCTTCCATCTCATACTCATCAGCTTCCTGCTGGACGCCATGGGCTCGCTGCCTTATGGCTATGACATAGGAGTCACAATCATCTTTGGCCTTGTCAGTTTTTATTTTTTCTTGGCACACATTTTCAACAGCACCTTCAAGTCTCCTCAGATCCCCTTAGGAAACCCTATTATCAAGCTGACTGGAGCAGGGGGAGGGGCAGTTGTCTGTCCACATTTACCAGCCCGTAAAGCCACATCTGTCCTACAGATTGCAGGTAAGACATAGAATACATTGATGCTGAGTTCTCAAATAAGCAGATGTTAGTATGCTGGATGTGGGTTTCATTTTACTATCACCCCCTCTTCTTTCTTCATGCAGAAATCATGAAAAATGGCGGCATATGTGGAATGCCTACTGACACCGTCTATGTGCTGGTGGCTGCTTGCAACAGACCTGATGCTGTAATCAAAGCTTACAAGTGAGTTTCCTATTTCATGTATTTCACTTGTCCCTAAGTGTATTTATAGCTGTCTAATTCCTGTTAAATCTCGCTATTTTGTTTGGCTTCAGGGTGAAGAAGCAGGCAGAGGACCGTCCCATGTCCATGTGGATCTCCTCTGTCAAGCAGCTGGAGCCGGTGCGACACCTGCTGAGCCCTCTGCTTCTGGACTTCATGGAGGCTGCGTGGCCATCTTCCATTAGCATGGTTATACCAAGAGGTGAGTGTAAGACTGTGTGAGTGTGTCTGTGTGCTGGTGGGATTTTTCTTATTATCATCATTTTTTGTTTCTTGCTTTCTCACACAGGCCCGTGGATGGAAATCTTTGGTTTGGGAGATGCTGCCAAACACATTGGGACTCCACAAAGCATTGCTATCAGAAACCCCGACTGTTCTGTAGCCACACATCTCATTGGTTTGGTAAGGGGCATCAATATTGATCATTGCATGTCCAAAAATGAACCAAAATCAGTGAATATAAACTTCTAATACTTATTCCTATAGGTGGGGCCCATTGCAGTAACATCAGCCAACCCCACAGGTGAAGCTGATACAACTCACCACAATCAAGTGTATGCCAAACTGGGAAACAAGGTAATCATGATAATTTAGTTAATGAAGACTAAACAAGCTGCTGATTCCTAATTTTTTTCAGTTTTATTTTGTTTTTACTGAACTGGACGTGGTTTTGTTTCTTAGGTGGATGGAGTGTTATGTGATGGACCCTCCCCAGAGAACATTGCATCTACTGTGGTTGACTGCACCAAGATTGAAACTGGACAAATTTAGCAGTATTTTGGCCCACTCCTCATGAGCAAACTGCTCCAGTTGTTTCCTGGTTTGAAGGGCGCCTTTTCCAGACTGCATGTTTCAGCTCCTTCCAAAGATGCTCAATAGGATTGAGGTCAGGGCTCATAGAAGGCCACTTTAAAATAGTCCAATGTTTTCCTCTTAGCCATTCTTGGGTGTTTTTAGCTGTGTCTTTTGGGTCATTGTCCTGGTTTAAGACCCATGACCTGCGACTGAGACCAAGCTTTCTGACACTGGCCAGCACATTTCTCTCTAGAATCCCTTGATAGTCTTGAGATTTCATTGTACCCTGCACAGATTCAAGACACCCTGTGCCAGATGCAGCAAAGCAGCCCCAGAACATAACCGAGCTTCACAGTTAAGACAGTGTTCTTTTCTTGATATGCTTCATTTTTCCGTCGGTGAACATAGAGCTGATGTGCCTTGGCAAAAAGTTCAATTTTTGTCTCATCTGTCCACAGGACATTTTCCCAGAAGCTTTGTGGCTTGTCAACATGTAGTTTGGCATATTCCAGTCTGGCTTTTTTATGATTTGTTTTCAACAATAG